TCCCCAGCACAGAGGAAGGGAGCACGTGAGGTCTCACGCGAGCCAACAGCCCGCGGTTTCTCAGCAGAGCCCAGAGCTCCCTGCGGGAGGAGGAGCAGGTGGTGCCCGGCTTTGAACTGGGCCCACATGCCCCGGGGACAAGGGACGGTATAGTTCTGTCTCAACAAGGGCGTGGGGGAAGCATCCCTGTGAGTTAGTTTTGCATTGGCCGGGAGCCAGGCAGGGAGCGATGGGACCGGGGCTGCAGTCGAGGGCTATTGGGAGCGCGTGTCGCTCAGCAGCAGGGCATCCCGCCTCTCTGATCGTGCCCAGAAGGTTGTTTTGCGGGTGGAAAAGAAAGGGGCCTTTCACCGTTCTCGTGTGGCCTGCCCTGCATTTTTCGCTGAGCAGCCGTTTCGGAGTTTCCTCTTGGAGCGGTGGGTTTATGCTGTCCAGATGTGCACCATGTGGCGGTTTTGTGTGTTGGCATTCCAGATGTGCACGGCCGGGGAAATGAGCTTTGGCAAAGGCAGGGCCTGTCTCTGGCCCTGGGAATCTGCAGAGGCTACAATGCGCTCGTTGTGTGGGGATCCCAGAGAGTTTCTTTAACCTCCTGATTCTGCAGCCGAGGACACTGAGCCCCGGGGGGGTGACTGCTCACCGCCGCTGATCGATGGCCCGCAGCTGGGAGCAGCGAAGATACCAGCTTTGCTGGAATTCCTGGCCCCCATCTGCACGCACGTCTGTTTCAGCACCGTGTGCACCTGGCGCTCTTCCAGGTGCTTGAGCCACATTAGTGAAAAAACAAAGACTCCTAGCTTGTTCTGATGGGGAAAGAATGAGCAGTAAACATAAAAAATGGGCACTTTATATAGTAGGTTGGCATGTAAGAATTGCTATAAAAAACAGGAGGAGGAGGGGGAGGACGTAGGTGAGGAGGTGGAGGGAGAGGAGAGAGGGGGAAATGAGACTAGGGTTAAGGGGGATGGGACTGTGGTGATGGTTGACCATTTTAGCTAAGTGAGTAAGGGTAGATTTCATTGAGAAAGTGACTGTCTTAGTCACCTATGGTGGAACAAAAGAGCTCCAAGTTCAGTGGCCTCAACCAGTAAATATTCTCTCACGTTGTTTGTGGGATAGGAGCTCACGAGCGGCTCTGTGGAGGGTCCCTGCGCAGGGTCTCTCTGGAGATCAGCCGGGGAGGCCGTCATCTGAAGGCCCGACTGGGGCTGGAGGACCCGCCCCCAAGGTGGTGCCTCACACGGCCATTGGCTGGAGGCCTCGGCTCTTTGTTGCATGGCACCTCCATACGGCTCCTACCACATGGCAGCTGGCCTCCCCCAGAGCACATGGTCCAGGGGGACAGATGGAAGTTGGAGGGCAGATGGAAGTCACCGTGTCTTCTATGACCCAGCCTAGTCTTGAAAGCGGGGAAGAAGCAAGCCAAGAGATCCCAGAAGGAATGCTCCGGTGGAAAGCCCTCGGGTGGGAGTGACAGCAGTGTTTATGGGAGAGCGTGGAGGCCAGAGGGCAGGACACAGAGGTCATTGCCGGCCAGGGGAAGGTCATGAGCACAGAAGCAGCACAGCGGACAGGGCAGCTGTGCTGAGAATAGACCACAGGGCAGGCAAGAAGCCAGGAGACGGGGCAGGAGGCTGTCACGGTGAAGCAGGCGGGAGATGGGGAGGCTCCCACCTGCCCGTGGCGAGGGAGGAGCTAGGAAATGCCTGGACTCTGGACCAATTAAAAAAAATGTTTTTATTGATTTGAGAGAGAGGAAGGGAGAAGAAGAGAGAGAAACATCAATGATGAGAGAGAATCACCCCACACTGGGGATCGAGCCCACAACCCGGGCATGTGCCCTGACCGGAATCGAGCTGTGACCTCCTGGTTCATAGGTCAACAGTGCTCAACCATTGAACCACGCCGGCTGGGCTGGACCCCTTTTGAGGTTAGATCCACAGGATCCCGTCGGATTGTGGGAGGCGTGCTTAACCATTGAGCCACGCCAGCCAGGCTGGACCCCTTTTAGGTTAGATCCACAGGATCCCGTCGGATTGTGGGAGGCGTGATAGAG